TGACAGGTCCTGTGTCGCAGCACTGATGATTGACAGGTCCTGTGTCATAGTCCTGATGATTTGACTAAATTTGTTCTGATCACTTCCTCTCTTAACTTGAGAACTGATCCAAATCTTCATCAGTGTAAACTTGATCTGGACCAGTTTTGTTTAAAAGTTCTGACCGATATTGACCCGGTTATTGATGAAGAAATTATAAATTATGAGTACTGATGAGGGACTTACCAGAAGAATAAGCAGAGTGATGAACCTCCTGCTGTCTGACAAACTTCTCTCTGCAGCTTAGTTTCCTCTGCACTCAAAGATCCTCTCCGAACAGATGTCTCACTCCACACAGACAGCAGTTCCTACAGTTAGTTTCAGTCTGCGTCTTCAGAAAACTTTTGCAGTGAATCCTCTTCTTACTTTTCGTCTTCTGTGTGTCAACCTGCTCACTCAAACCACTTCCTGTTTCGCATCAACTTCTACACATTTTCTAGACAGAAAGTGACTGAGTCGGAGAATCTGCAGGGTAAACTCCATGTGTCCTTACTTCCTGCTGACCTGTGATCTCTGATGGATCATGTATGACCCACAGAACATGAAACACTTGCCTGCTGCTGTCTGAGAGGTAAAGTGACGCTGCTTCACTCAGACCTGAGTCTGCAGCGCCCCCTGCTGGCTCAGCCCAGCAAAACAAAAGTCACAGCATCAGTCACAGAGCTAAACATTTTGATACATAAACAGCTAAAATAACTCAAAGAGCTAAACATTTTGATACATAAACAGCTAAAAAAACAAAGTATGAAGTTGTTAGATGTCAAACATGTATATTATAAAAAGAGAAACACTGTAAAATCCTGAGAAATATTTTGTAGACTTCAGTGTTAAATAGTTTTACTGTATTTATCCAGCTGTTCTGGTAGAGAAAGTGTTTTTGTTAAAAACCCTGAAACAACAGAAGCTTTTTTTAATCTTTTATCGGGTCTGTTTTAATAATAAAAACGTGATTTCATGCAAAATGAACAACATGCTAAGATCTTTCAGCGTTCTCTCTTAAAATATCAAGTTGGTTTTTTTTAACGGAATTGAAGCTGCAGTTCCTCTTCCGGCCGCCAGGGGGCAACAGAGGAAACGATCGTCGTCATGGAAACGGTTTGTTTATTCCGAGCAGTGCCATCTGAACATCCCGCAGTACGAGGAGGATTTCAGCCTCAGGTGAGTCGAGACCCGATCCAGGTCTTTAAAAGACCGGTTCACCTGTCAAGAAGGGTTAGCAGAGGTTCCAAAGTTAGCGTCCAGTTCGGAAGGTTGTATTTCCTCAGAACTTTAGGTGTGTGGACCGTCTGTGCTCAGGTCCTGTTCAAACTAAGACTGGATTTTTATACCAAAACACGAATCTTTAAACTACAGTCTAAAATAAAATAGTTTGAGAAATTTTAAAGAAATTAAAATATAATTCTATACATATATTTGTTAATTAATTCATTCATTCAAAATTTATTTATACACCTTTATACAACCATTATTTATTAAAAAAAACATCTGGACTACACTGGAGCAAATCCACTTCAAAAATTCACAATAAAGTCCAAATCTAAACTAACCCGAGCCTTAAAATAAATACATCATTTTTTAAATTCATTTTGTTTGACTCTGTGATCAATGACTGACACGTACATTAATCATTAAACTGTCTGACGGTGTGAGATCATCAGGTGGTGGTGGTAGTGATGTCACAGCGTGATGTCATTGACTTCTCTGCGTTGGAGAAAGAGCTGCAGGCGGCGGTCGCGTCTGAGCATCGATACCAACGAGAGAACGACGCCAAACTGAGAGCCGTCAGCCAGAGAGTCAGCTACGAGCAGTTCAGGTGGGTCCTGGAGAGCAGGTCTCGGTCCTGGAGAGCAGATCTCAGTTCTGGAGAGGAGATCAGGGTTTCTGAGAGTAGGTCAGGGTCCTGGACAGTAGGTTAGGGTCCTGGAGAGGTTAGGGCCTCTGAAAGGAGATCCAAGTCCCACAGAGCAAAGCAAAGTCTAGAAAAACAGGCCTGGTCCCAGTGAGATGATCCAGGACCCAGAGAACAGATTCTGGTCCCGGGAAAAAGATCTGGGTTCTGGACAAACGGTCTGATTCATTTATGAGTTCAAAGAATTGTCCAGGATTCTGTTTCCAGAATGATTCCAGGATTTTCCAGGCGATTGTGAATCAGTTTTTTTCTAACGTTTGAAAATTTGGGGAACATTTAGTTTCAACAGATCTTTAAGGATGTTCCAGGGTTTTCAAGGAAACCTCTCAAGGTTTTCCAGAGTGCAACAGGGACTTCCTGGAATATTATGGCGTTTACATCCTTTAGTCCTTGCATAGAGTCCTTGGAGTATCCCCAGCAGCCTTCTCATATTTTTAAATTCCAGGATGATTTTGACATTCTGTAAAAGCTTTCATAGGCTTCCTTGAAATGTTTCCAGGGGTTTCAAGGCTGTGTTTCTGTCCCCCAGAGGGCTGGTCCTGTCGTCCCACCTGAAGCCCCTGGACAGGAAGGACAAAGATGGAGCTCCACGGAAACAACCCTGGAACCCCGTCGCCCCGGGCAACGCCTGACAGGGGCCGTCACCCCGGGCAACGACAACCACTTCATCCCACGACCTTTTACCTCTCTGTGGTGTCATCCAACAGTTTTTCATATAGTTTATTTCAGAACCTTTGTTGTAATGTTTATCCTGATCTGTGGGTTTATTTGTAAACAAACATGCAAATAAAAAAACAACTGTCGACGTGAACAAACAGCTCCAGATGTTTTCTAATAATCAGAAAGGTGAAAAATGTCGCTTCAGCTCTTTTTGATGCACTAGTGTTGTGCCGTTCACAGATGATTCGTTCAAATGAACAAATCTTTTGAGTGAATGAACTGAATCACTTATTAACCGATTCGTTCTTTTCTCAGTTCAGTTGAGCGCAGCGCCGGTCGGGAGTGGAACTTCCTCGTTCTGTGGCTCGTGACGTGAATCTGAACGACTCAGCGGCGTGCGGGCGCGGAGGGACTGTTGACGTCTGAGCGAACGTTGACTTGTGATTCGTTCACTGCAAATAAACTACATGAATCACTCAGTGACTGAACCACTCTCTGACTTGGTCCTGAGGGATTCTAACCATTTCCTCCTCATGGAGACAGGCTCTCATGTTAGCATCTGTTTCTTCAAGCCAACGGCTAATGTTGAGTCAAGCCACATGAAAATAAACGCACACCCCGTCCCCGTTACCTTACCAGACCGAGGTGCACTTAAGTAACGAGAGGAGACAGAAGAAGAGCGAGTGAGACTCGCAGCGGGGCGAGCTGCAGCAGCGACGGGTGGGGGGGATGAGTGTGTAGTTAACCCGTGTGTAGGTCTCTACGTGAACGTTAATTTTGAACGATGTCTGAGTTATTCATCTGAACCGGAGCACAGTGACCGAGAGGAGAATGCAGACATGAGTCGACCTGCAGCTGAAAATGAGGAAGACTGAACGATGAAGAGGATGAGAGAGACGCTGCTGCAGGGAGCTCCGCTCTCTGTCACAAGCTGTTCACCACAAACATCGGATCAGAGCAGGTAGATTAGAATAGTTACACATCCGACAGATTCCTCTTTGCACAAACATCCAGCCATCATTTGCCACTTGTCCCAGTTTGGGACTCTGGAACCTAAAAGTGACGCTTCGTTCCACCCGGACCACAAAACAATACACAACCACGCACCGGGAGAGCACACCTGACAGCTGCCCGGTGCCACCCCGCCGGTGGAGGCCTGACGGCACAGGTTCAGGCAGAGGGCGCCCTTTAGCCTGTTAGCTTTGGCATTAGCTCCAGAGCTAACAAACTATGGACATCATCAGCCAGAATGCATTGCACAGGTAAAATTATGGTGACATCCTTCATTGAAGTGTGCTGACTTTACACCAATTTTGAAGTACTTGTGTGTTTTGACGTGTCACAGACAACTTTTAGTAGAACAGGGAAATAACAGATTAGGTCAACATGAGCAGGAAGTCGAATCTTTTTTCAAAGATGCTTCAATAAAAAGCGAGACGAGCTAAAATCTGTCAGATCAGATTTATTATAATAAAATTCAGTAAAATACCCTCTTATGTACAGAAACTTTACGTTTGTTCAGCTTCTCTAATACAAATAAAACGAACACTTTAACAACATGCAGCATTTTACAGCTGATCCAGAACTGATGGTTCTAGTCCACATAAAAACTCTAGAACACGGTTCTGGGGACAGATTTGTTCTCATTGAGGTTCTGAGGTCCTCTGGGCAAACGGCCCACTGAACGTGCTCCAGATTTAAACATCTAATCCCGTTTTAGTTTCAAGTCCGTCTTTTTTATTCTGTTGAAGATCCAGAATCCAAAGAAAGACCGGAGGAGTCGAGAACGGTCCTCTGGAAAGTTCTTGCTCCTCATCATCAGCATCCTGATGAAGAGCTCCTCATATTCTAACAATACTCTGTTTTCTGTGAGACATCTGACTCCTCGGATTGAAACTAAATAAACAACTCGACTGATGAACGTTAAAAAGTCTTTTCAGTTTTAAATTCCAACATTGACTTGGCATCAAGCAATTTGCTCAAAACTGTGCTTTCCCAGTGTATTTGAACGCAGCATGCGCTGATAACCTTCTGAAACTGAAAACTCAGTTAACCCATTAAAACTAAGTTAACTTTTAAAACTCAGTTAATTTTTTTTAAACTCGGAGTTAACCCGTTAAAACTCAGAACTCAGAGTTAACCCATTAAGATGAAAGTTAACCCATTAAAACTGATTTAACTTGTTCAACTCAGAGTTAATATCAGGATAGGCTGTTTTGGACACAGAACCTGCTACCTGGAGGTTTAGGTGCTAAATTAAATATTAAATTATAAAATATTTCTAATTTTAAAATAAATTAGTAAATAAAAAGTCCGGGTAAAAAAAGAGGATCCAGGCTGAATCTAAAACAGTTTCTGGAGGTTTAGAGGTTTCTGCAGAACCCAGAAGGCGGGTCACTGTGGTCCTTTGGTCCAGTTCATGATCCTTGTTGGTGCTGAGGGAGTTTGGGCCTCCGATCCAGTTCTACACGGCTCCATTCACACCAGCTGTTTGAAGCCTGGTACTGGTTCTGAAAGACAGACATCAAGTGTTCAAAGAGGTCCGATCACAGGAAGGGACTCTGGGTTTTAGTTCCACAAACAGATAAAAAGTAATCCGACCCAGAAGGTTTGATGCTTTTCAAGCAGTCAGTGTGGAGCTTTCAGAACCGGTCCTGGGTCAGAACTGAGCAGAGGTTCTGTTTCAGATAAAAACTGTACGAGGATCCACACACCGTGGAACCTTAAGATCTTCAGCAGCTGAACATAAGAGGTACCAGCTGGAGGTTCTGACTTGGGGCGGTTTGACCAGAACCTTCAGTACTGTCAGAAAGAACCTGAGCGTTCTAAAGGTGGGGACAATGGTTCTGTCATCAGGTTCTTTGTTCTTTTAAAACTACTTAAAAAAAAAGAAGAACCGTTTGGGTTCTAGGTCCGTTAGCGGACCGACTTTTGTTCAGAACTCAGAAACTTTAAGGTCCATAACATCAGGAGGTCCGGGTCCTATAGGTACCTGGAACCTGTCTGGACTCCTCCTGCTTGGACCTTTTCAGGAACTAAATAACTGAAGTTCTGTGGGATTTGGACTGGAACCGAGCTCTGGTTCTGGTCATGTTGAAGAATCTGGAGCTTGGATGATGCTCTCTTGTCCAGAGATGTTGGAGGTCTTAAACCTCCAAGAGAAGCAGCTCCAGTTCTGCTCGGTTTTATCCGGGCTCGTAATGGATCTGTTCTGGAGTCGGGTCCAGAACAGCCTGCGGGTTCTGGAGCCGGACCTCTTTAAGAGCTTTAAAGTCCACAATAAAAAATAAAACCCAATCCAGGTCCAGGAGGTTCTGGAGGGCCTAAATCGGAGATGTTTGTGGTTTTTCAGGTGCCATGAACTCCAGTCCAAAACAAAACCTTGTTCAGCGGTTTCAGAACCGGGGTTTGGGTCTGGGTCGTTAAAGCCACAGATGATTGGAGGAGTTCTAAAGGCCTCCCTGGGGTTCTGAGAGGGTTCTGAAGGTTCTTTCTACCTCTCAGAGAAGATGGAGTTGAACTCATTGAGCATGAGCTCCACGATCTGGCTCTGGAACACCAAGTGGACCGTCATGTGGGCGGACTCGGTCTGCGGGCGGAGCAGCGTGGGTCCGAACACGATGGCGACGCTCTGAACAGACATCCTGTTGGACTCTTTGTGCTCGATCACCCTGAGGACACAAAACACAATCGGTGGGTTTCCCAGACACTTGGGCTTGGTTCTGAGTCCGACTTGGGTTCTGCTGTCACTGGGTCGGTCGTAGTTTGTTTAACTGGAACTTAACCACAAGTCAGGATTTAAACTACACAAAAATAACAACACCAGATCTGAACTACACAACATTTATTCTTCACTACACAACAGATCCTGATGCTCAATAATCCAGGTAGATAATCTAACCAGGTGGAGTCAGGTCCTCTGGACAAATTTTTCTTCTTGAAACATTTAATCTTTTATCCAAAAGACTTCTTCAGTCTGAGGAGTTACAACAAACTGATCACCCTCCTGACACTGAACAGCATACACAATACTACTCTGTGCCGGGGGACTGGGACGTTATGTTTAGAAACATATGTTGCAGGAGTTTCAGAGAAACTGAGACATTTATTTTCTAAACACAACGTCCCAGTGGCTTTTAAACCCCAAAATACATTAAAGACTGGTTCATCCCAAAGATCCAGTCCCCCGGCACAAACAGAGTAATGTTGCGTATGTTGTTCAGTGTCAGGAAGGTGATCAGTCTTACATCGGGGAAACTAAACAGCCACTGGCCAAAAGGATGGACCAGCACAGAAGATCAACATCATCAGGCCAGGATTCTGCGGTCTACACTCATCTCCAGGCCAGAGGCCACTCGTTCAGGGATGAAGATGTTCACATCCTGGATAGAGAGGAACGATGGTTTTTGTGAAGAGAACCATCATTAAAGTGGTGGCGCAGAGGTTAGAGAAGGTCGGCCTGTGATCGGAAGATCGCCGGTTCAAGCCCCGGTACTGACAACATCAAAAATGTGGTTGGGGTAGGTGAAGCACCCACACCTGCCCCCACCCTCATTCGCCCTACTCTGGGCCCACGAGCAAGGCCCTTAACCCCCATCTGCTCCCTAAACAGGTCTCTTTTGAAAATGAGTTCTCGTGGCTCAATGAGACTACCTGGATAAATAAAGGCTAAATGAAAAAAAATAATAATTAAACAGGGGCGGAGCCTCCGTATTCAACTGTCCCCCTGTTACAATGCTGTTATTGTTAGTATCACTCAGCCCTCTGTAAATAGCAAGCAGCCATCAGGGCACTAACGATCGGTCATTAGGCTGATGGTCCTCTTTGATCATGTGAACAGCTAGTTCTGGATGTCAACAACAAACTGGTTGATCCACTATGAGAAGGTGCTATTTATAAGACTGAGTTTGTTGCAGCTCCTCAGACTGAAGAAGTCCTTTGGATAAAAGATGAAACGTTTCAACAAGAAGAATCCGTCCAGAGGACCTGACTCCACCTGGTCAGATTATCTACCTGGATTATTGAGCGTGAACCTGAACATAATGAACATGTGACCAACAGAGGGTTTAACACATGATTTAAACTCCAGCAGACTGAACTACAGGGGATTGTTCAGAAGTAACCAGTTGTCAGGCTGCTGTTCAGTCCAGGTGTGTGTGTGTGTGGGGGGGGGGGGGTGGGTTCGACTCACCTGCGCAGATGTTTGAAGAGGAGCTCCATGGTGTCGTAGTTTGGCAGAGGCAGAGATCGGACCAAATCCTTCACGTAGGAAACTCTCAGGCTGTAATCTGGGATTTCTGCCGACACAAACAAAGCTGCTGCTGTAAACTACAGGCTCTGTGTGTGTGTGTGTGTGTGTGTGTGTGTGTGTGTCTACTGACGGATGGCAGCGATGAACTTCTCGAAGCTGCTGAAGGGAAACAGCGGTTCTGGAAGTTCTCTGAAGAAAAGTTTCAGCGCTCCAGTGATGACGTGGATCTCCTCCCACTGCCCGTCCTCCAGGTCCAGATGTTCCTCTGCAGAACCACAGAAGAAGAAGGAAACACCTTCAGTTTCTTAGAACCAGCTGCCTCTGTCTGGAAATGTCTCCCGATCTGAACCCGGCCTTCCTGCCCGGATCAGGTACCTCACACCTGGTCACTATGTCAGTATAAATTCTACCGGGTCAGGTTCTGAACCCTTCAGTTCCTGTCTGTAAGTTTAAGATCCGGCAGGTTAAACTCAGAGAGCAGCAGGTTTTACCGTGGTCGGCTTTGTGTCGTAGTTTCTGGATCACAGCCAGGTTCCCGCTCACCCTGTAGATCCCGTCAACTCCCAGACCTGAAAACCCAAAACATGCGGACATCAGCACACGCCCGACGTCCAAGTCATTCTGGTTTTAAAACATCGGACCTGAGTCGGCTGCAGACCAACTTCATGTTTGACGTTTTTATCACAGTTGACCTTGATTTGTGACCTTGAAGCTGGGGTCATGAAAGGTGTTTGATGTGATGATGCATACGTGTAAGAAGCCTCATTAAATTCTCCAGTCCATCAGAAGTTATGGGTGAGACGAGAACGTTTACGGACGTACGGACTGAGACGACCCGTTCTCTTTAAGGTCAAGTGCAGCTTCCCAGCCCAGCAAGACTCGTCTTCTACCTCTTATCTGTGATCAGGCTGTGGAGGCAGAAGGTCCACGAGAGAAACCCAGACCTCCCTCTCTTCAGAGACTCTCTTCAGCTCCTCCTGGGGGATCCCGAGATCTTCCCAGACCAATGAAGATCCACAATCCCTCCAGAGAGTTCTGGGTCTTCCCTGGGGCCTCCTACCAGTGGGAGGTGCTCAGAAAACCTCCACAGGGAGGCGTCCTGATCAGATGAACCTCCTCAACTGACTCCTTTTGATGCAGAGGAGCAGCAGCTCTACTCTGAGGTCCCCTCAGAAAATGGAGCTCCTCCTCCACTCTCTAAGGATGAGCCCCACCCCCCTATGGAGGAAGCTAATTTCAGTTGCTTGGATCCAGGATCTGGTTCTTGTAGGAGGTGTGACATCAGATGGGAATTATATACTGTTCATTGATTTGGGTAATAAAATCTAAACTATTTTATTGTTAAGTAAACATCTGTGTATAAAATGTGATCCATCTCTAACTGCTTCAATAAATCATTTAAACCTTCATCAATAAACTGAACATGTAACGAGAAAGAAAACACACGGAGTGATCGATGGGTGATTTCAGGACTCCTCACCTCTCCTCTCCACCGTTCGGACACATTTCTCCACAAATTTAGGGATGGTGGTGTTTTCTCTGTGGCAGAGGGTGTCCAGGTGGCAGCCGAAGACGTTGTCTGAAGGAGACAAACAGCTGGAGTCAGATAAGTCTACAAACGTTAGCTTCATTCAGCGCAGGACCCTCTGGCAGATCTGAGTTGCTTTCAGAGCTGGACACAGAAATCAGGAGGTGCTCTGCTTCCGTTTCATACCTCTGATGTATCCCCTCTCTTTGACGCTCTGCAGCGTCGGCCTTCTCTGGAGAAAACGGCGCAATCTGCGCCGGATCCGGCTCTGCTCCAAGTCGGCTCCTGAAGAACCTCTGGGGGCTAAAAAAAAAAACCCACAAGAAGAAGAAAAGATTAAATTGAACTCGATGAGAAGAACTGAACACAGAATCAGTGAAAGAGGTCAGAAAACATCAACCATCCTGTAAAAACTGATTCAGATGTTATTCCACTCAGAGGCTTTTAATTTGAAGTTACAGGAACACATCAGAACAGTTTCTTGAAAAAACTAAAAGTTCAGTTATAGATAGCTGTTTGTCTCTTGGTTCTTCAGGAGTGTGAGTCAGACAGAGCAGCTGAGGGAATCCAGCAGAACCTGTCAAGAACATCAGACTGAGTCCAGAAGACTCACATGTCCTTTTCCTGTCTTTGTCCTCTCTGTCTGAGCCGGTCTCGTCATCATCGTCACTTGGTTGCTCCTGTTCCTGAAAGAAGAAATAAAGTGTCATGATTCGCAGGTTGGAAACATCTTCTGGAGCAGGAGGACTCAGATTCTGCAGAGTGTGGTGTTAAAGTGGCTTATCTGAAAGTGCATGGACAAATCTCACCGTCTTGATGTCAATGCATATGTAATGTGTTTATAAATGTGCTTGCTGGTAGAGTTTTTTGAAGTTTTAAATCGTGTCCTGACAGGACAAGATGTGAAGAGATCTTTTTGTAATACCACTATCCATCCTCATGGCCTTTTCCCCTTTTCTATCTAAAAATATTCTAAAAAGAATACGAGGCTGTGCTCTTAAAGAGCAGCAACTACGTGTACTCCACCCATCTTTCGGACAACTGTATGGACATTTTCTCATTGTATCTCGGTACAATGATAACAAAGCTTATTCTGATTCTGATTCAAAAGATCAAAGGTGTCTCAGAAAGATGAGACCAGAAGGTCCTCAGGAAGGAATGACAGCAAAGGTGGGTATCATCTGCATAGAACTGAAGCCGTGTGATTGGGTGACCTGGCCTAGAAAGGTGATGTTTAATGTAAAGAGAAGGAGTCCCAGCACTGGACCCTGTGGTGCCCCTATACAGAGGTGATGCTCCTCCATCACAACTCTTTGAAAGAAAATTCAGTGGATCAAACCAGAGATTCTGGTCCCTGAGCATACAGCTGTGATGGTTTACTGTGAGAAAATGTCAGAGATGATAAAATATGGAACCTGAGGACTGATTAGAGTCTCGGACTGTTTTCAGAGGGTCACGGAGATTAGTCATCTCAAAGGCCAGGAAACGCCTGAAGACTTTTCTGAAACCAGGAAGTTGTTCTCTGAGAGGAACTCTCATTTCCCCTCCAACTCAAGACCCATCCATCCCACCTCAATCTGTAGCTCCTTTTGACCATTTTGAACCCATCACTCTATCTTCTCGAGAGCAAGTCATGTGCAGCTTGAAACCTTCTGGCTCCACCTTTGATGTGGTCCCCCCTCGACTACTAAAGGAGGTTTTTCCTACTCTAGGTCCGCCCATTCTTGCCATAGTAAACAGTAGTTTATCCACTGGCATGGTGCCAAAATCCTTTAAACATGCTGCCGTCCAGCCTCTCCTGAAAAAACCAAACCTTGACCCCTCAGTTGTTTCCAACTACCGGCCTGTCTCCAAACTCCCATTTGTTTCTAAAGTACTGGAGAAAATAGTCAAGTCCCAGTTGAAGTGCTTCCTGGAGGATCACGCCATCTTAGAGCTTTTCCAATCTGGCTTTAAACCTCTCCACAGCACTGAAACTGCCCTGCTGAAGGTCTTAAACGACATCTTCAGATTCACAGATACCGGTGATTCTGTGCTGCTTCTCCTGTTGGACCTCACAGCCGCCTTTGACATCATCGACCATGAGATCCTCATTGCTAGGTTGGAGCAGTGGGTGGGTGTCACAGGATCAGCCCTCAATTGGTTCAGATCTTACCTCGCTGACAGATCCTTTTGTGTCTCCATCAAGGATTTTAGTTCCGCAGAGGCAGAGCTTAAATGGGGGGTTCCACAGGGGTCCATCCTGGGTCCCCTCCTATTCTTTTTATACCTGCTGCCACTTGGTGCTATTTTCCAGAAACACAACATGCCCTTCCACTTCTATGCCGATGACTGTCAAATTTACTTCCCCCTAAGACACAATGGTACATCCTCTATTCAACCGCTGCTCGACTGCCTGGCTGACATCAGGGACTGGATGGCTTTAAATTTCTTGAGTTTCAATGAAAAGAAGTCTGAAGTCATGTTGTTCCCTCCCAACGACATGATCACAAACCACTGCATCAACCTTTCTGCTAACCCTGTCAGAAAAACAAAGAGTCACTAATCTGGGAGTGATAATGGACCCTTCCCTGAAGATTAACAATCATGTAAACATGATTGTTAAATCATGCTTCTTCCAACTGAGGCGGCTGTCTAAACTGAAGCCCATATTGTCCAAAAATAACCTGGAGACAGTAATACATGCATTCATTACATCTAGGCTTGATTACTGCAAGTCACTCCTGTTTGGTATCAGTCAGACCTCCATTGCACGACTACAACTGGTCCAGAATGCAGCAGCCCAATTTTTAACCAGTACAGGCAAAAGAGAGCACATTACACCAGTTTTGGCCTCACTGCACTGGTTACCGGTTCACTTTCGAATCCAGTTCAAAATACTTATGTATGTCTACAAATCACTGAACAGTGTCCCCCCCCCCCCC